AGAGGAGAGGAGGGGAGAGGAGGAGAGGAGAGGAGCAGAGGAGAGGAGAGGAAGAGAGGAGAGAAGAATAGGAGAGGAGAGGAGGTGGAGAGGAGGAGTTCTTTCTATTTAATTTTAAAATCTTTGTGATTCAAACATGAAACTTGAGTTTTTCCATCTGATATTTTCACATTAAAACACTATTATTATTATTTAGATCATAAACATGAAATAAAATACAGTTTCTGTTAATGTTTCAATCTTTCTTTAACAATCTAAAGATTTACCTCTGATGATGACCTTTGACCCTGAAACATAACTCCTAGTCACACCTGTCAATCATTTGTATTGATCCATCCCTGTATTGAAAACAGGAAAAGATTTTGTTTGTCTGAGTTATGCTCAAAGTCTGGTTTACTTTTATTTTTGTGTTTGAGGTGAGACAGAGACAGTTCAGTGTTTTTGGTTAATCAATAATATTGATCAGATTAAATGAGCAGCTGTGTTGGCACATGCCTGACACAAAGCCACATTTCAGGTCCATTCACCTTCATCCACCTGGTGGACAACTCTTTCAAAATAAAAGTCTGGTTGTGAATAACTGCAGTTCTTTAATCGGTAACTTGTTTTCTGATCTGATCCAAGATGGCTGCCATGTTGAAGTGAGATGTTGCTGTTTGTTTGAAATACAAACAGGGTGTGAATGTGTGTTTGAACAGACTTTATTGACACTGTCGGCAGTGGCAGCAGCGACTCGATCACAAACAGATTTTTCAGCAGCAGGAAAAGATAAAGTCGACTGAACGAATGAATAAAACCAGAAGAAGAAACGTGAAAGACGACAGACTGAGCTGAGGCTTACCGGAGGATCAGCGAGGACTCAAACTCCCTCCATCCCTTCTTCACTGCCTCCTTCCTTCCCTCTTTCTTTTTTCCTCCTTCAGTCCTTCCTGTGCAGACAAAGATGGAGTGATGAAGGTTGATGATGAAGACGTCTGCAGCTCAGAGGAAACGATGACTCGCTGTGATCCTGGTCTGCAGCGATGTTAATCCAGATCTATCCTTCAACACCTCCTTCCTCTCTTCCTTCCTCTCTTCCTTCCTCTCTTCTTCTCTTCCTCTTGTCATAAATCCTCACAGCTGTAAGAATCACGGCTCACATACACACACACACACTCACTCACACACCCGTCAGCCACACACACACACACATCCCCGACGACAGTCGCCACAAGAAACGAGAGGCTGAAACCACGGCAACCTGACAGCATGCTCACCCTGCTGACTCCTCCCCTTGCTTCTGAGAGAGAGAGAGAGCGAAACAGACAGAAAGAGAGACAGACAGAGAGATAGAGAGAGTGACAGAGAGAGAGAGACAGAGAGAGACAGACAGAGAGAGAGAGACAGAGAGAGAGGATTTGTGTGAGTGTGTGTGTTACCTGGTTTGATGATGTCACATAATGTTTTATAACAACGACATCATGTGATGTCACAGATTTTGACTGCTGTAGGCAGGAAGTCTCCAGAACATGACAAATACAAAATAAAAGCCCAGATGAGACCTTTATTTTGTAGGACAGTCTCATCCAGACCTGGACCCTCCAAGTCCAGTCCTACACTCCAGATGACATTCCTGTGTCCAACAGGGTTAGGGTCCTCAGTCCAGTGTGGATTGACCCTCTTGCTCTTGAGAACAGGAGGGTGGTATGACTGTGGTCCTTAGCATGATAATACTGTTTGTGTTTTCCTTCCCTCTTTGCTGGTCTCCATCCATCACATGAATTCACCATGCAAGAGGACAGTCTGATGAGCTGTCCTATCTGTCCTGCCGATTTCCACATGGTCCTCAGTTTGGACCTGTTCTCTGGGACCCCTCTGTGTTGTTCTGTGGATTATCCTCAGTCTCCGCCGCCTTATACAAATCTAACTGCATATTGCATTAATAGTGTATTATACTTTTCAGTTATAGTCATAATTTTTTATTTTATTTTAATATATAACTATTTTGTGAAATCTCCCTTGTACTTCCACTTCTAATTCCAATTCAATTCCAATT